CAACATTGTTCACTATTTACTCGTCAAGAAGTTCATAAATGCCAAAATGATGGCTACGCTGAGTAAGTTACATAGTTACATCACCGTTAACAGCTAGAAACAGGATCGAGTACTTTTGTAATTAAAGAATATGAATGTAAAAATTCAGGAAAAAAATTGGGTATTTCAAAAAATAACAGTACAAAACATTGAAACATAACATAGCGAGTTGTAGCCCAATATAATATTAATTGATTAATTCCTTTACAGAAAGGAAGGTCTTGATATAGCTGTTAATTATTGTACATTTAAATATTGCACATTACTAATATAATTACTGTATGCGCATTCTTTACTTGCAAAACATATTTAATTTAGCGTTACTCACTCATTTTCCCCATAAGTACATTTAACTTTGTCAAAAATTTCAATTGTACACGCACGCTTTATTTGTGTAAATTTGATTTTTTAAGCTCCTTAAGTTTTAAATAGAGGAACAAATCATTTTCATAAACTGACCAATTGCAAATTTCTTTATAGAAATCTGTAGAAGACTAACTTAAGTAACCGTTATGGTTCTCGCCGCTACCAAGTTGAAATTTTAACAATAAGCAGCTGCTAGCTGCTGGTCTAGTGGTTAGTGACCCTGACATCTAAACCGGAGGTCGAGGGTTCGGTTTGGGAATTCCAAATGGAATCCTCGAATCCTGGGTGGGCCAAGGACTAAGAATTGTGTGATGAGCACGATCATTTGTTCTGTGGCTGGGTGTAATTTACCTATAATATGTATGTATCTAAAAATATTTAAATATGTTTATCTGACCGTGTGGTGACCGATTAAGAATACGGAGTGTCACCGACTAAGGGAGCAAACTACGCAGAACAATAGCACTGCAAAGTGAAGGAAAACTTGACACAAACCCTATACCAACCCGTCGGGCCAGCGTTGGTATGGTAGGCCAAAACCTCATTTCTAAGGATACCTATGTCCAGTTGTAGGCAATTAAATAATGTTGATGATAACGATAATGAAGTATGTTTATCAGCAGTTATGTTACCATAGCACAGGTGGCAATCGAAACCGAGACCTCAGCACAACAGCCGCATACTCTACCACTGCGCCACCGTGGCATTCATATTATTATTATAGTTTCTGGCAGATGTACAATCATCGTCAGATGTTGGAACATGTAACACCTTTGGTAATGCTATGGAACATTAAAGCTCTCGCTACTGGTTAAGTTAGAGAGCATAGTATCGATAGCACCAATATTAGAGTCAAAAGCGTCGGCAAATCGAATGTAAAAATAAAATTGAGAAATCCAGCGAAGCAGTGGAAGGTAGGTAGCAACCCCGCTAAGTATGCGGCGAACTTAGATATTACATAACATAACATGCCACCACGTAGCTGTCTGATAGTGTGTTAGTACGTGGTAACCCTGACATGCTTCGATCAATTCAAACGCAACTATAGGGAGATTCCTTATGTGGAGTCAAATGTTGCCCTATGTTTCATACATGACAGCCGACCACGCATACGAATGGAATTCGGTTAAAAAACAAATTATCATAATGCCTAATGAGGCGGAAAAAACGTCTCAATTCATAAACGTCGCACATAATAGGCAATGTCACTAGATTAATCATTATTAAAAACTTTCTACAATTTATTATCACCTTAGACGCTTAAAAATGTGTAATTTATATTAAAAACGACGTATATCCGGCGTCACGACATTGCACATTGCATCACCGCGCCACGGGCGTGGTCTGGAATCCATGTATGTTTAGTGTCTGTCTACTTACTGTTTATTGAGAATTTTATTATCTACAATGTTGAGTACAGGCTATACATTCCTGATGGCGTAAACATTCAACTATTCGAAGACACGATAACACGACTGTAAGAGAGGTCAAGTGAAAAATCAAACGCCTCCGAAGGCTATTAACATTCCTTACTTATTAATAAGTACTAGCCAATGTGTGCACTACATGTAATACAATATGTATTTGCTAAGTCATGTCGCAGGAATCACGGAACGAATTGCAAATTTTGCGTCAGGGTTAATGGATCTTTTAAATGTGTTACGAGAAAATGTTCAAAAGAAACTCAAAATTAATCGACAGTTTGCACTAATACTGTCAAGGATTTTTGAAAAGTTAGACGATGTAGCCGATTTAGAAGTTCACATCGTTGATACTCTTCATCATTTGCACTCTTAACCAAAGAGCAATAAAAGATAAATTCCTTTTCAATGTCACATAACCGGACAATTGCTTGACAATCGCTTGAGTGTTGATTAATACACGCTATGTACTATCTAAAATATTGGATGGCTAACGTTTTTATTCACCCTCTTTACAGTCACAAATAATTGTATTAGATCTAGCTTCTATTAGATCATTGCAACAATATGCGAGACGGGCCGAATAGCTGGAATAGTTGCACTCTCGCTTCGCTGCCAACGAAATGGAATCCGTTGCCATTAGAAATTCTACTGAACACGATGACTTCATTGCTATCGGGATTCCTTCAGTGCGCTTCGTGTGAGCGCCATCCACAGGTGTCACTTCAACACGCAATTGCATTCTTGCAAACCACTGACTCTTAGAATTTACTAACTACACTTAAACTTTCCAATGTTTATTGAATATGTCTATAACATACAGAATGTTTGAGATAAGTAATAATTATCTTTGTTTATTAGGTTGTCTGTTTTACAATTCTATCGATGTAAAGAACGGTCCTAATTAATTCAGATCTCCGAAAATAATAATTATACTTACAACAATAGTGATCACCGATAGCATACCTTCCTAAGAATGTTTGTAACTGTAGTCCGCGACGCAACCTACATTCAGCATTCTTTTCGAAACCGTAACACGCCGCCTCTGCGTTCCGGATATATACGTTCATGCTATATTCACCCCAATATCTTTCGCAATAAAACCTATTTCAATTCAATACAAATGATAGAACGTCAGGTATTACAATTGTAGAGAGCTGTAAAACTACATATACAAAGTAACGTGCGATGGATATGAAAAATTGATAACGTTGGCAAGATTTCTAACTGCAGAAATGTGTGTTTAGCGCGAATATTAGGGGTAATTATGCAATTATAGCCATCATAAATGTAATTAAATTTGTAGGTATCTGTCCGACCATGCACCAGATGTTTAAAGTAGCTTGTTGGGTTTCAAAAGGCTTTGTTGGGTATATGATTAAACTCTAAAATACCATTTAAACAACGATAAGATTACGTAAACATAGCACTGCTAAGATCTTTTTGAAATAAGATAGGTACGGTATTGTTTCCGTTAAGCGCACCGTGTGGCAGTACGAGGCAGCCCTAAAGCATCAGAAGACGTAGCAATTTATTGCTCGGTAGAGAGTATGGTACGACGAAATTCCTGAACGCTTTCTCTGATGGTAGTCCGTAGTCGGGGAGTAGGCGCACGCATACGGCGCTTACAGTCATAGGCGGCGCTTGCGGACACCACAGTCCACACGCAGAGCAACGAAAGTGAGCGCCGCGCTAACGCCGCGTGCGCCCGTGCCCGTTTCTGTCATCGAGTTGCATAATTATCCGCGATCCGACCATTGTTTGTAAACACTTAATAAACAAGAACACATCACTTAACGAATTGCGTGACCGTATTTTGATTATATATCTACACATAGCAGATTTGTATCATCAAGTACATTAAGGTTTTTTTTTATCTACGAAATTCTTTATTTTAATTGATTGCATGATAACGTGAATGCAGGCCCGTAGCATATCATTAATAAACATCATTAAGTTTTTATACTCTCAGACTGCTTATCTAATGATTAGCTAATAGACTGGAGTCAGAAAGCCAATGGTACATTATCATATTCATATAAAATGCACAAATTAGCTGACTTTTTGTAAAAAAGATAGTATAAATAACGTGCTCATCGGTATGCGGATATTGACGAAGGGTTGGAAGCCAGATGATCTGCCAGATTGTGGGTCGGCGAAATTCACGCGGGATGCGTTTCACCAAAGTACCTATACTCTAGCTGCTACTCGTGGAAAGCTTTGCTTTCTTATCGGGGTCCATTGTTAGGTTATTCCTAGAGAGAAATTCTTGATTCGTTCACGACTTTGAAAATTACGATTGATGTGTCTCAATAAACTTGTTGTCATTTTAATCCGGATGTATCGGTCGAGCGCGTTACACCGAAAAAATGGCACGTCGAGCATATTTGTGACTATCATCGCGTCGGGGAAGTGAGGTTTAATCGTCAATGAGTATTTCATCGTGAAACTAGCCCAAGCTTATTAACAATAGTATCCTTTGTGATACGTAAATGTCGGTTCGAGACCGGTTCCATTTTGTGCAACAATTTCGACAATATAAAATTAATTATTAGTTACTTGGTAGGTATAAGTTAAACGACACAAATAGTAAACTTTATGCGGAAAATCATGTGCAAAAACTAAAATGCAGTCGTACCGACCAGTTGAACGGTATGAGATTCTAAAAATAAATTAATATAGATATTTGAAAAGATATGAATTCCTTTTCTTATAGAGCGACTAGCACGCGACAGTCTCGCTGGATGTCTATTAAACAATGTCAGCTGGAATCTGGAATGCGACCCGCCTACAAGGCCGCGTGCCATCTCGATTATACTTAGGTAGGTAGTCGAAACTATAATAAGTGATTAGTCTGTCAACTATGTATGTATAAATTTCATTGGTAGCTTTAAAGAACGATGCAATATGATTGTGTATCATTTAGCAATACAACAACGACTGAACTGCTGTTTCTTACACAAGTTAAAATTTTGCATTTATGATGTACACCTCAGGAGTTAGAAGTATTGTCAACTTTGATATTCTTTCAATATTTATACATAGGATCAAGAAACAGAAAACTGGTTGCACATAAACCAAAAAATCATCATCATCTTGGAAATGTATAACTTTCCTTAGTGTGTAATGTATGTAAGAGTAGGAATAAAATGTATATTAAATGTAAATATTTACCGAAGCTGTCTGAATCGCTAGCTGGGTACGCAGGGCTCGGCTGCACCATTGTTGCAGCGCGTGATAGCACGTCCAATGCTGATTCCACCTTCTCCATGTCTACCTGATTTAATAGGATAAATGGTTATTAAACAGTAACAACATTAAAATTATGGATCGGATCGGATTTCGTGATAGGTATCTATGTGAGATCTTTTAAATACCCTATGTCGTAAGGTATAGTTAGCGTTCCATATAATCAGAACAGAAACAAAATGACAATCAGATGTCGTTATCTTTCTGTAGTTACGACGCTAATTAGGTTTGAAAATTTGGTGGAATTTGTGTCTGTTTGCGCAAGTTTGTCTTCGAATTAATAACTACCCAACAGTCATAAAGGCATGCGAATACCAAAGCAGCGGAAATTCCTACTGGCACGTAAACGGCTAGACGGTGGACAGACGTGCGCCAAGTCGTACGATCTCCACGTAAGTAACAGGGAGGAATTAGGAATCAGATGATCAAACAAAGAGTTGTGAAATGTGGCTCGGCCGCATACCGCGACCGCACCGGGAACGAAGCCAATGGACCAGTGTATCACAGATTAGACATACGCACGAGTCGCACGACACATCGCAAAAATATTATCATACCAATTTTTAATGACCTACTAATATTGCATGCCGATGATGTTTACGAGCGCCAAAAACGTATAATAAACAGGCGCTTACGGATTTAGCAATTATGTTGCTGAGTTCGTAAGCGACCGTAATACGCAAGGCGAAAAATGCACTTTTCAAATTCCGTAGATTGTAGCAATTTGATTAAATTTAAGAACAAAACAAGACAATCTACTTTCTGTGATAACGTCTCTGGTAGGAATAGGGAATATTCATAATTTTTATTTATTTCTTAAATTAATCATTTACATCTTTATAACATAGACCAGAAAACTGTCTTGAAAGTAGTCAAATAATTTTTCAAAGTTTTTTTTAAACATTGAATAAATTTGAGCCGTTCAAACGTCACCATTTAGCGCGCGCTTTTGATGACGTCATTGGTTGTGTCCCGTGTGTGTTTACTATAGCGTTTCAGTTACTTCGTACTTATTTTCAGTCTTAATTGCTATACAAATCATGAAAGAAGTTAAAAAACCTTCATATAAGTATTGTATGGTACCGAAGTGCAAAAACACTATTATTAGTGCACCCGATAAAGTGTTTATTCGTTTTCCACGCGATGCGAAAGTACGAAAAAAATTGTGTATGATGAGAAGGGATAATTTATCTCCATCGGTTGTATTTTGTCGTGAAGATCATTTTAACGTTAGTATGCTATATTTATGTACTGCTTAAAGTGAATTAAGCAGAGGAAGATTCGATCTAAAACTAACCTATCCTAGTTTACAAAAGTTCATTAAAAAAATCTCCAAAGGGCTTGGCTTATACGAAATTTTGATGATTGATAATTTATTTCAGGTTAAGTTAGATACAGTTAATTATATTGAACATAATAAAACAGAAATAATAGTTTCTTTCGTTTCATTGCAAGTGCAAGTATAACATTTCTGTCGGACATTATGCTCAGGTGTAATCCGAGCTTTAATTACACATATGTCTCCATCTCCTTTCACTTGGACATGGCCAACTGCTAATTCACAGTAAGATTCTCGTTCAGATCTGAAACAAACAAGCACTTAAATACTGAAAGAAAATATCGTATTTATCTAATATTTAAAAAAAGTATATAAACATATCATACTTGAGTGAGCTTCAATAATATAATATTAATTGTAAACTATAATGATATAGACGTAAATTAGGAGTTTAGGCACAATTTTAATGACAAATATTTATGTATAGGTTCTGTTTTGCAGTAAGTATTTTTACTTTTAAACATTTATGAATAATGGACAAAAATATACCATGTAACATAATAATTACCTTGCAGCTTTCACTCCTTTGATCTCTGCGCTCGTAAAATCGAGATTTGATGCAAAATATGCTGACATTATAAATGCATCTATTTTCGGTAGATTATCCGAATGTGCTTTAAAAAAACCAGTTTCTGTCATCGTACTAGATTATCTACAAATATATATTCACAAGTAATCACACAGGAATACAGTTTTAAACAATTTTACTCACAAACACTACTAACAGTATGAATATCCGATAAGTCCAGCGACGTGACGTGACCATTCACGTCACATTTCGTTTCGACCAATGGTGACGCGTTTTGTAAGTTTGAATTTCCCTTTCCTATTTTTCATTTTCTAGATGCATATTCCCTGTTGTGTTAAATAGAGTAGGTACGAAAAGGGTAGACCATTCTTTACACGCTCATTAAAATTAGGTAACCTATACGAATATCAAACACATATCATAGTTTTCGTGCTCGTATATATAAGTACATATATATTCGTCTAAACCGCTACCTGAATTTGCCACTTTTTTAAATAAAGATATAGGAATCCGGAATTTAAATTCTACCGAGAATGTTGTTAATAGTTTTAGAAACTACAGAATGTGCCAATTTATTATCACAATTAATTAAACTACAACACAATTGTGTTGTGCTTTGCATACCGGAAAATCAAGTAGGTATATCTCTATAGTATATTGCGAGGGTGATACCAGTGCAGCCAAAAGAAATATATATATATAGAAATATATTTTTTTTTTTTATTTCATAACATACTATGTACATATAACAGTTTTAACTTAATGTACATTTAACATTATCATTAGATTACACCTTAATTAATTGCATGCCGTCGGTATCTTAACGAAAACAGGTAGATAGACGTTAATTAAAATAATAACACCGAAAGATAAAGCATTCTCGAGATATCAGCCGAATAATTCATAAACAGAGTGAGATTCGAAGAATGTGAAATGATTTCAAATTAAAAAGAAATACAAGCCATGGTATTTAGTAAGAAAAGTATGGAGGTGTGGAAGGAGGGAAGGGCAAACAAAACATTCGAATGACGAGTGATGCTATGACTGCGTTAATGATGAGGAATTTAGTACATTAACCACACTAGAATTTTTCTGGCCGGAGGCGGAGTCACGAATACGGACAGTGTTGGTATGTCGGTATTACACACGTCCAATGGATCATTCGACACATAGTCAGATGGTCACGAACCCATTCAATGGGAAAGAAATCTTGGAATGGAATTTGATAGTAAATTACGTTAGTAATATTATATGGCCACAATAACTTAAAGTCAGAGTCTATGGAATACGTAGGTACATGGCAAGAGATTGATAGGTTCTTTATTTTATAGAAATATGGTAAATTACAGAAGATCTTAAAACTATATAGGTACATTAAGTACCTAGCCTTATAACGCTTTAAGCTTAGGTTTACCTATTTATTTCCATGTAGTTTCTTTTCTATTTGGAAAATGGTAATGTCAAGAAGTTATTTATGATCATAATGTTTGTTATAATGATTTTTTTTTTCTACATCAAGGGTTCTAAATATAACCAATAGATATGGTAATGCAACGCGCCATAGGGTTACGATTTTAATGAATTTGTACATCTACGTCAGATGTACACCATCTGTTAAAGATCGTTGTAGTTAATAAATACCATGCATTGGAAAACATCAATCACAACAGTAGCCACAGACTGTAGAGTGTAGTCTTCGTAACACGAGCAGGTTCTACAAAACTATTTCATCTTTATAATTTAGATCTGCACGATTTAATGCAGTCTTTGTCGGTCATTTGTGAGGTATGTGTACTCGTAAGTATTTAGTATAGAAAATATCTAAAAAAATATTTCCCCTACGGCAATCATTTTTCAAGATTCATTGATTTATGGCTTTAACCCGTTGCAATCCTCAAAGACAACGACTACAAAAAAGAAAAGAATAGACTTGATGCGATTCCGAAAATTAGACATTGAGCATATTACGTTAAAGTTTATTTTATTTCTGGTTAGTGTTGCTACTCTTAACTTTTCACTAAGGCTCGTACTTTAAAAGACGTCTCAAGTATTGGTTGAACTATGATTGAAACTGAAACTAGTTTTAAGTGCAGATCAAAACTTAAGTATCAACCTTATTATAGAACGCGTTTTAAGTTTAACTCAGTTGTTTTTATGTTAGAGGGGGCACACGCGCTGACGGGTCACCTGAACTTATAGTCTGTTCTCAATTACGTTTCCGCATGATTGACATTATTATTCTGAATTACGTAGCTAATTATTTATTAAATAACTTTCTTTTACAAACATAATTTCTATGAATTTGTATTTAGTATACTTTATTGGCTAGAGTAGCAATGTTAACAAATTAACAAGCTTGTTGTTCGTCCAAAATATAATAAAATTGAAAAACGAGTGTGCTTTGGACCACACGACTGAAGTAAAACTTCTTGGCTATGAGAGAAAGAGAAAAAGAAAATGTGTGTTCGCTCTTGCCCCTACAGTAATATACGAAACGTTACTGTCTCTCTTTCTATCTTCACTAACTTATATCTCCCTAAACTTCCGTTCGCCTCGCCCGATCACACTTTTCCTAAAGCTCTCTTTACGCAATCACCAGCTTACTCCCCAAGTCAATCGTGCGCAAGAAGTTTTACTTCAAAAATAAAAATGACTAGATATAGGCTATAACGCAACGTTCAAGTTATTTATCAACACTTGCATGTTGAAATGTCAAACAATGTTTTTATTTTTATATTTCTTTAATTTATATTACTAGAATATTATTATACTTTAACATAAACCAAAAGGTTGTGGCTGTGGTAAACAAATATTGTGTGTGTAAAATGAGAACTTGAGCAGTGGAGTATTATAGGCTGTTGATGTGATGCGATGATGTGATAATGGTATGACAAGTAATTCTTTCGTAAATAAAGTAAAGTAAATCTTTCGTAATTATTCAGAAACCAATCATCGCAAAATCATTTCCCCTAAAATGCCATAGAAATCACCGCTTGAGACTAGTTTCAGCTTGTCTCACGTAAACGAACATCACAGCTGTCAAAATCTATACCTGAGTAAAGATTTCGACATAAAAACCGTTCTAAAATAAGCTATCGCTCACTTGAGTATGGATCAGTGAATCTTTTTTAAGTGATGTTCAATAATAAAATCT